TCACTGCGTGTCGTAAAAGGCGACTACGAGAGCCCCTGCGAACCCGCACTGGGCCAGCGTGGTAGGGTGTGGCCCACCCTCTCCCCATCACGATACATCAAGGCCGTTCCTGTTGAGTCAGCGAGTTTCAAAGTATAGGTACCAGAAGACTGGACACAGAACGACGTGGGAAAAATCTAGGGAAGGCCTACGTCCAACAACGGATGTTAAAAAGGCTGAGGGAAATAGAAATACACGCACACATACACACACATGCACACTATAGGAGCCCGGTTAGGCTCTACAGGAGTACGGTAGATGGAAAGCTTAGGGGGTTAAGGTCGTCTACCACGAAGTCTGTAACTGTGGATTCAGCATGTGATAATGGCGGATGAACAACGTAGTATTACAGCAACACATAGCTCCTGCGGAAAGACAACACCACACTGGAATGTTTAGTGTCGATATTAAGTACTGAATACAGAATGGGAAATATTGAAGGAAAAGCTAAGTAATAATCGCCGTTGTTTGTCTTTCATTTTCTTTTATTTTGAGAAACCTTCACACTCGGATCTTGGGTTTGGTGCGAGGCGACGAGAGGCTGGGGATGAATCCGTAGGGTGAGGAACTCGACTCAGTATAGGTGTATTTTGAGTGGTTCGCGTGCCCTGTGATCGGTGGTCCAGCTGGAGTCCGAATGTTGGCAGCAATAAATGAGATAAATGCTGAGGGGTCAGCAGCTAAGCTGGCAGCGTTGGTCATCCTGCCCGGTATGACCACACACTATTGGGTGCTTGGCAGAGTGGGGCAATGATGCGGAGCAGGCGTTGTGTGAGCTACGTTTCACCACTAAGCCACCAGTTGTAGATGTGAGGTGTAGGCCCTACAAATGGTAAATGGCGAGCTTAGGGTGCAAAGTAGACAACCAAGATGTCTGAGAGTAATTATGGAGTGCGTCCGGAGTCAGAAATAACAAGGCTCTTTGTAAATGTCTCATTACTCTCTCTCTCAATCTAGGTTTCACTTTAACATTTCTAAGTGAGCCAAAATTCAATAAGAAGAATTTTATAGACACAACCCCCTTGACGCTCACATGTCTTGGGGCCGTACTCTTTTATAATACCTCACGGCTTGTATCTTATGACCCCTTCTCCCCTGGCAGAGCTTTTACAGCATACAAGATTCACCCTTCCCTCTTCCGCTTGACAACAATGTTCACACTAATACCGGAAAACATACTCACTCTCTCGTCTCTTCAGACTTTCTTGTATCATGTTCCTGAATTCTCTCCAGCTTGCGAGTTTGCTTTGACATGTTACTTACTGAAAGATCGTACTTCCACTCCTCTTGTCATAGAGCTCTGATTACAGGCAGAGACGTTCACACCTCCTGTGTGTATGATCAACTAAGCTACACAGTTAAGCCATTCGTACTCACAATACTCGATACTCACTATACTTCTTGTCCGACACAAAAGTAAGATCAAACTGCAACA